GAACGGTGCATTAAACTCACTACTTTACATTGTATTTATTGCATTGCCAAATTCATCACATTGTCATATTGTAACTACCACACTACCACCATTAAACTATCATCTCTCGGTGCTGGCCAACCGATTATCATTACAGGTCACCAGCAATTGATTGATCGCACTCACACACTCCCTCCGTCCTGGAGTATTCGTCCAATTATGACTTTTAGATTGTTCATCAAAGCAGTTGTACTCATCAAATTCTCTCAATGTGTAAGCCTAAATATAGTCGTGTGTGATCTTGTTTGATTTATCTTAACATATAGATTATTAATATATACGGAGTAATTTCTAATTTTTTAATATACAAATTACAAGCTAAAATGGATTAAAGATATGTATTGGGTGGTGTGTAAAAATAAACGTAGACAAATATTTTGGAACGAATGTAGTATATACGTAGTATTACACTATCATCAATTTTTATTACACTGACAACATGTATTTTTACACTAAAATTTCACTATATATACTCACATTTTGAGCCTAAAAGACATAAAAAATGAAACATCTATTTTGGTATTTTCAATTTTTTATCTAGATTTCTTCTTAACAAACCGTAGGAGTATTGTTTGAACTTTCTTTCAATTAGCTCTCTTTGGTCCTAAAAAAATTTCTCACAATTTATAATGTTATGCTCACTTTATTCTTAATTCAATTTATTGATTGTAAATATAAAACAAAATTATATAAAGATTACTTATAAAAAAATTGACATTACTATATTATTTTATCAAATAAGGATACTAAAATACTCCGGTATGTATAAGGAAAGTGATAAAGTATTAGGATAAAGTTATTTCTACTCTAAGAATTTGTACCTCATTTTGTACATCGTAGAGAGCCAGAGATGCACCAACATTTTATATTAGTGTAATGCTAATTTATGATAACGCACTAACACCGTGTGACGGTATAAATTTTTGTTAATGCACCAACATTTTATGTCAATGTGAACCATCAAAAATATGTGAACCACCAATATTTTTGTTAATGCACCAACATTTTATATTAGTGTAATGCTATTTTTATAATTTTTTAATATACAAATTATAAGACAAAATGGATTAAAGAAGTGCATTGGATGATGTACAAAAATGAAAGTATGCAAAAAGAGTGGGGAGTAAATAAGATACGTAGTACGGAGTACAAATTTAGGATTACATGTTGCATCCTCCTAAACTATTACAAGTATTACGTAAATAGATATTGGAAAGAAAATTGGGATATGCTAGAGAGCCGAAATGTACACCATTTGCCTCTACACCATTTATTTTATTTTGTTTTTATTTTTTTTGAATTTTACTTACTTTTTTATGAGGTAATGAAGGGAGTTATGGATATTTAGGTACGTTTTGGTGTATCTCTAACATTTTGGAAGAAAATTTTAGAGTGGTACTCTGTATAACTTTTTTTAAAGTGACGACAACATAGTGACATCTCATCTAACCCCACTATAGAGTTGTGCTGCTGGAAATCAAAAGAAGTCATGTAGATGTTGTAAGCTGTGCAGTAAACTACTCTCCCGTAAATAGCACTAAGTATTTCGCAGCAGCACTAATAATTAATAAATACTACTCCGCCCGTCCCAATTTATTTGCAATACTTCGAACGATGTGCAAAATATCATCTCTTCTAAAATCATTTTAATTTAAAATTGGTAAAGTAACAAAAAGTAAAAATTACACCATTCAAAACTATATGAAAAATTCTACTCCCTCCGTCCTATAATGATCTTCCCACTTCCCCTTTTTCTCCGTCCTAAAACTACCTTCCCATTAGAAAAAAAGAGATGGCAAATGACATTAATACCCTCATGTATTTACACCAATTATCTTCTAATTCTATATTTTGAATGATTGCAAAAAAAAAATTTCAAAAAATCTTTTCTAAAGAGAGTAAAATTTGAAGTCAAAGCCAAAAATTAAAAATGGGGAAAAGTCAATATGGGAAGCTCATTATAGGACGGAGGGAGTACAAAACAAGATCCGACAAGAATATTTTATTTTATCAAATGATCAACCAAAACGAGTAAACAAACAAAAGTTATCGAGAGACCGAAATAGTAAACGTGACATTCTTTTTGAGACGGAGGGAGTAGAAATCCCTAACTCTCCCTAATTCTCGTTTTGACCTTTTGCGATGTTTAAAAAGAGTTGAAAAAAACTGAAAATTTAACAAAATATCCTTAATAAAAATGGATGTGGTGTATTGAATAGGTGGAAAAAGGTGTAATAAATAAATTAAGTGCGAGTTGTTGTGGTATTTTAATTATTTAAAAAAATAATGAGAAAATCTATGTGGGACAAATAAAAAAGCTAATGAGAATACCTATGGGGGACGGATGAAGTATAAAACTATTTTCACTTTAAGAATTTGTACCTCATTTTGTACATTGCAAAGATGCATCAATATTTTGTATTGGTGTAATGTTAATTTTTGTTAACATATCAACACTTTGTGTCAGTGTAAATTTTTGTTGACGCACTAATACTTTGTGTTAGTCTAAGTCATCATAATCTTAGTGCATATCATTGGTGTACAAACAAGATACAAAAATAGGAAAAATATGCTAAATATTTATCATAATAATTCCATTTATTCGTCTATCCAAAAATTATTTCTCACTTAGCCTTTACTAGGCCTGGACACGGTACCGGTACAATACTGTTACCGGCAATGGTACCGCCAGTACCGCTACCATCACCGCCGGCCTCACGTCTCTCCGGTTCTGGAGAACCAGTACTGGCACCAACGCCAAGGTACTGGTTTCGGTGCCAATATTTCGGTACTAGCACCGGTGATACCGGTTCCAGTTCCGGTACCCTTTTTATATTTTTTTTGCTTTTCATAGTAGATCGATCAACTTGTGATCTGGTGATCAGGTTCCGCATAAGGTAAGAATATAAATTAATTATACTACTACCATGTTTACGGATATGCATATATGGAAACCTTTGACTTAACATTTATCTACGGAAGGCAAGCTATGCCTATGCATACAAAGAAACCATTGATTTAGCATATATTTAGCGTTTCACTTTGTAAATATGGTAGTAGTATAATTAATTTATATTCTTACCTTATGCGGAACTGACTTGTAGGAATCCGTGTACATATATTTTCATTCTTCTTGGTTTAACAAACACAACAATAATTTCTCATATGATTTAAAACAAAAAGAAAAAAAAGGAGGTTGCTAAAACCGACCGGTCCGGTATCGCAACCGCCAGTCTGGGTACCGGAATCGGTACCGTCCGGTCCGGTCACGATACCTGTATTAAGGGGTGGCGGAACCAGAACCGGCGGTTCCGGAATTGAAACCGTCCCGGAACCGTACCGTGTCCACCACTAGCCTTTACACTTATATTAAAAAAATACTCCCTCTGTCTCGAAAAGCTTTTCCTATTTACTATTACGATCCCTCGACAACTCTTATTTGTTTGCATATTTTCATTGATCATTTGATAAAATAAAATATTCTTGTCACCTCTTTTTGTGTAGAGTTTTTGATGTAATTTTTAAATATAATTTTTTATGTGTTATTCCTTACCAATTTGCAAATAAAATTATTTTAAAATATACGTGTCACCTCTTTTTTTAAATATAATTTTTTTTGAGACGGAGGGAGTTGGAAAAATATACTCCGTGTACTCCACTAACATTCTAACCCCACTAATCCCACTATAGTGTTTGTTTGTCAAAATGTGTAAACCTTTTTGGGACGGAGGAGGTAACATTCTATTTTCCAATACATCTATTATTCTTAATATTCTCCCGCAAGTTGATCATCAGTAACGAGGAACAGCTTGGAACACAACTGCTCGAATTGAGCCAGCGGAAGCAATTTTATGAGGATAGCATCTAGAAGTAGAGAAATAGATTTTTGTTGTAACCCGAACGAGTTTGAGATTACGTTTGCTAAGTTTCTTTCAAGCGAGAGTGTTAACAATTTGAGCGAGGGCAAGGGGTTTCATTTTTCTCTCTTTTTGGGCCGTTCTCTACTTCTCTATCACTTTCTATGCTCTTGATTTTCTAAAAAACACAGGCAAATGCATCTTTTCCGTTCTTCGATCACGCACATAACCTGTTTAGAAGAGAGAAACTGAATTTTTTTGGAGAGAAAGAGATAATTGATTTTTTGGAGAGAAGGAGAGGGATAATGGACGAAGGCTTTTAGGCACACTCGTCAAGATCGGTCGGTGATGTCATGGTGTCGTACGGTCGACTGCCATGAATAGAGACCAGCAATGTGCTCAGTCAAAAAAAGGGAAGGACTAGATTTTGGAAAACCTTAGCTCCGACACCATGACACAATTTGATAATAATTGTTCTTATTAAATATTTAAGAATACATCCAATTTTATAGAGATCACATATGATGAGAGTTCCAATCCAAGTAGGATAAGAAATATAGTACTCCGTAACAAATATAATAAGGAAATAGAAAAATATGGAAATGAATTATTTTGAGTATTTTTTGCAATGAAGTGAAAAAGAAAGGGGATTATAAATAAGAATGAGGGATTGAGAGAGAATTGGCGGTGAAAAAAAATCCAATTCTGATCTAGTAGCAGGAGAGTTGCAAATTTGTCAAACAATGATTGAATAAGTTTTGTAGCAATTGTTGGATCCACTAGCATCAGTTGAGAAACTTCATTGGTTGGGTTGTTGCGCTGAGGATGGTTTGTTTTTGCTGGAGAAATTTAGATGGGATGCTACCGCTGTATACGGTGGCGGTAATTATATATAGTCGTACTGGTCTAAGCATATCATGGTAATTGTAAGGGCATATATGCAGAAGACATCACACTTAAAGGGTTAACGAGAGTTGTAGCAACAGAGCATCACTCATTTACAATAGCTAAAAACGTGAAAACGTAAATAATTTTGACATTGAGATAATGACAGTGAACAAAATTCATCAAATATTAACTGGAAAAGATTCAAACCAATAATTTAGGGAGCAGTAGTTAATAGTGGAAACATTGAATGGAAAATGTTTGGATAAAAGAGGACATCAAAGCACAATAGGGATAATAGTCATAATTTACGCACAATGTCATAACTTACACACGATGTCATAATTTAGAGTAATAAATTCAAAACGCGTTAAACCTTGGGTACGCAAGGGTTTAATTACAATTGCAACCCGTCCATGCAGACCGAGTTTTTGATTTTTATACTTCTTTCAATCAATCAGGAGAAGCACCAAAGGGCATTGGCGAGGGCGTGTTCATAGTACGGTAACACCTGTAAATGTAATTTGTTAATGTTTGAAAAAATGTACTAGAATGTACTCCAACTTCCTAACTAAAACACTCTCAAAATACACTCCCAAAACAATAATACTATCAAATAGTCACAAAATTGATCAAAAAACAATGTAGTTTATCCTTTGTTACGTTTATATTGATTAGGCTCGCTCCTCCTGCGTCATATTTATACCACCGTATTGATCAACCACAATTTCAAAGCATTTTCTACACTAGCCAAGACATAATCTATCCCCTTCTCTTCCTCTTTTAAGATGCCTATGAATCTCGGACTTTCGTTATAATTCCTAAACAGCAATCGAACACAATTTCAAAGTCAATTATTCTATGTAAAGTCATAAAAGGAGAATAAAAATATAAAGCAATACTCTACAGTTTGGACCATCTTCCAACTGAAGTGAATGGTGAACTTTGTTATCGGAGCTTTTTTGCGACATGAGTTATCTCTAGGGAGTATTCTTGTGTAAAACAGTCCAAACATGGGAGTATTGTTGTACGTTCAGCATTAATTGTTATTTACTCGTATTATTTACCTTCACTGCTTAGTGTTCAATAATTTTATGCCTTAATTCATGTTTGACTACTTTTTGCACAACTTTATTGCATTTGAAGAAGGAATTACCTCATCTTCGCCTATAATCACAACATCCAGTGCACTGATCAGGTTGCTTTAGCTAGACGGATTGTCTGAAAAATGGCTAGCAAATAAGAAAGATTAGCAACAAGAGGTCCACATAGAGTCAGTAACTGCCCAAAAAATTACTCCACGAGGCAAGAAAAGCAAGTGCATCTATACCTTCCTTTTGTTTTTAAATACAAAACAAAAATAACCCTTGAATAATCCCAACTCAATGAGGTCTTGGGGGTCAAGAAGTATGCAACCCTAGATTCATTTAAGGCATGTTTAGTGGGGGTGGGGAGCCACTCCCCTTGTTCGGTTACGGGGACGGAGATGCGAACGAGAAAAGGGAACGAGGTAGAGAAGAGGAGATGGAGGAAATAAAGAAAGGAGGAGATGAAGCAAGAAGGGAGAAGACAATGCATGGGGACACAAAAAAGAAGCTGAAGAAGAGAGAGAAGAACAAACCCTCCGATTTGGAGGAAAAAGAAGGGAATTGGAGAGAGATTTAGGGTCCCCTCTGAACTTTTTTAAACAAACAAGGAGAGGGATTCACTTTCCCCCCTTCCCGCAACCTAATAAGCCCTTAATTCTTGGAACTTCATAAAATGTAAAAATGAACAACTATGTACCACTTTGTATTAGTCCATTTTATTATCAAATGAACATCATGGACTAACTATCAAGACTCACGAGCTACCAATCCTGTGATATGCTATATTGTTATCCACCACATTCTCACGAATGGAATCAATTTTCTTGACTGTTGAGTACAACAATTGAGGTTTAAAGTTAACTATAGAATGCTTGAATACACCAAATTTTTTCATTTTAATTATTATTTCACTGTGTAATGTTATGACTAACTCGCCGGTGCATGTATATTACGGAGTACAACTAAAGATTGTATTACCTTGTGTTCGTCTGATTCACTTCACCCATCCTGCAATCCTGCAACCACGGTAACAAAATCATCAAGAGCAAACCCAATACAATGTGCAATGAAACGGGATTTTTTGTTGGTTAATTCAGGTTAAGAATTTAGTTAAAATAATAATAATAATAATAATGAATGATGATGATGATGATTAAATAAAAAATTATTCGTAGTTTCCATTAGTTTTCCTATATTCAAATAGTTGTGTTGGATAGGCGCCTTGGGCTAGGGGGTAGTTTCTTGTACTTGTTATTGTGTGCTTTGTATCATGGTTGTTAAGTCGTCGACTAGTTATTCGGTCGTTTTGGAGGTGGCGACTTGCTTGTCACCTGGCAACTTGGGAGGGGGGGGGGGGCTAGTGGACGGAGGGAGTGTGTGTGTACATATATAGTTGTTACGGCGGCTAGGCGAGGTTGAGCCCTAGAGCACCTTCATATCGCATAGGCGATTTAGCATCTCCTGGGTGAGTGGGCTATGGCGACCTTAATAATTTCATAGGTACTAATTTAAAAGCACGTAGCATGAAATAAGTAATTAAAGAGTACATTGATACCAACATTAAGCAACAGAAAGTTTCAAAAACAGTACAACTTAGAGTCTCAAAGTAAATAAAGCAAAAAAGAAAAATTGTTTCAAGTTTCATATCCATGTCTCTAGCCCGTGACTCATGATTCATTAATCATTAATCATCCATGAATAAGAGCTCATCAGGAAGCATCTCATGGTTTGTGTTTGTTGCCTCTTAGTTGATCATGTTGGGGTATCTGTGAATAGCAAACCACAACCAAACAAGAACACACACAAAACGGAAATCAAAACGGAGAAAACGAAACACAAGATTTATAGTGGTTTGGTCGGCTGACCTAATCCACTTTACAACTAGGGTTATTATTATTCAGGTGCTCAAAAAATTACAAGTACAGAGATCCCTATTTATGAAGACTAAACTAGGGTCAAAAACTTAATCCCAAGTTACGCCCAAGCCCACATAGAGAATTAGGGCCGGCTAAATTAAAAACCTAATTAACTGCCATATGGTTCGAACCAAGACTAGGGCCGGCTGCCCTTCTTGGTCGAGCCTCCACACTTAATTCGCCCAACAATCTCCCACTTAAAGGCTCGAACAACGCCCCTTAGTCTTCATCATCTGTAACTCTTATAATCTTCATTTACCACTAGTTGAAGCGGCCTTCTCTTCAGTTATCTGAAAGTCCGTTGAAGCTCCCACTGAGCTTCAACTCATCAGTCACAACCCGTGACTCGTTCTCTTTCTCTGCCAGCTCTGAGTGTGACACATCTATCACTCTCATGGCTTCTAAGAAAAACTGAGAACCTGCATTCTCCAAACCAAGCAAATAGTTAACAGGAGAAACTTTCGACACTGGAATTCTCGAATTGGGACTGAAGCACGACCTGTGCTCCCACTGTCACAAAATTCCCTGACTGGTTGAACCTTCCTAGCTAGTTCATTCTGAATTTGTACCCTTTCTCTGGGTTTCTCCTTTGCAAAAGTAACCCTCTTTAGCACACGGGATTCTTTGAACCCGACCTTTTCTTGCTCCTTCTGGAGGTATCTCGGCCATATATAACGATCCCCTTTTATTGCCACGAGCAACAACAAGATTTCCTTTGACCACCTTCCACTGTCCACCACCAAATTTAACATCAAGACCTGAATCATCCAACTGCCCAACTGAGATAAGCATCCTCTTCAAACTTGGAATGACTCTGACGTTTTTCAAAGTCCAAGTGGCTCCAACTGAAGTTTTCAAGTCAATACCCCCCCATATCGTTACCAAGTCGTACCTTACCAAAGTCCCCAATCTTCATATTCTTGATCATCTTCATGTTGTGTGTGGCATGAACAGTTGTACCAGAATTCATCACCCAGGAATCTATACTACTCTCTACGCGACAGATTAACACATCATCACTACTGTCTGAGCAGCTTTCTGTAGTATTCACTTCCGTTTTACCATTCGGACACTGACTTCTAAAATGTCATGTATGCTTGCAATCCCAACAGACAATTCCTTCCCAATGCTTGGACTGATTCTTACCTCTACCACGGTTGCTTCCTCTTTCATTCCTTCTTCCTCTACCTTCAGTACACAACAGTGCACTCGAAGAATCCCCTGAACTTCTGCGTCAGATGTCTTCACCTAGAATCAAGTCCCGAATTCCTTCAAAAGTAAACTTAGTAGTACCAGATGCACTACTAACTGCAGTCACTGTTCCAGACCAACTATCAGGCAAAGACGATAAGAGCAGCAACGCCTGGAGTTCATCAAACTTAATTCCAACTGACCCTAACCGAGTTATTACATTGGCCGTTTCATTGACTATGTTGAAAGCAACACTCTTCGCCAATGACAACCTAACCACTCCGAAAGCTGTCTTGTCCAAAATTGCCCAATCTGCATTGCTCATCTTTTCTAGTTCTTCTCCCGATAACGTTTCGTATAAGTACAAGTCTTTCTGATAAAGAACATCCTCGGTTTGCATCTTCCAAAACCCAAAATCACTTCCATCAAACTTTTCAATCTTTATCTTTTCATCTGTCATTGTTTCCATACACGGCTGAAAAACTGATCTGAGATTGAAAAAACCAATATCGAACTAACCTTTTGGCAACGGCTATTCAGAACCCTAGCGGCAGCAGCTAAACAAAACGCTAGCAGCAGCGACTGTTCACAGCGGCAGCGCGGTTAAGCCTAAGCCCACATAGAGAATTAGCGCCGGCTAAATAAAAAACCTAATTAACTGCCATATGGGTCGAACCAAGACTAGGGCCGGCTGCGCTTCTTGGTCAAGCCTCCACACTTAATTCGCCCAACAACTCATGGTATACCTATACCTAGATTAAATGAAGAGATGAAGAAAAAAGAGTCTTTAAAGAATAAAATAAATCAAGTAAAAGAGAGAAATGTAAAGAAATAAGGAAGTTGATGCGCGACTGACCGAAATAATGCAAACTGCCGACTGACCGAGCCTTTTCTGGGTGATCGATGAAGGAAGATGCAGAAGTTAATGTGTGATCGATGAAGGAAGTGGAACAAAAGATGATAGAGAGAGAGAGAATGTACTTTAATCGCAAGGAATCGAAGAGGAGAGAGTCGAAGAGCTGAGAAAAACAAGTGGACCGGCTAGGCAGCTAGGGTTTAAATTGTGTAGAAAGTAAAAATGGATTCAAGGTCTGGGCAGTTGCACGCCTTAAGGACACCCCGATCAAAAAAAGCTAGGCGTAGACTATGGCATCTTCAACAGCTCACCCAGATGCCTAGGCGACAACTTGATAACTGTGTGTGTGTTATACACACACGCACACACACATCTGTGTGTGTGTGAGTGACAAAATATGTTTGAAGGCAGCCCAAGTAATGTGTGAAAAAAGAGCCTAGAATGTCATTACGTTTTTGAAAGCTAAAATGAGTTAAAAAGAACCAAATATAAACTATGGCATTTGAGGAAGCTATGACAAGATCAGCAAGATTGTGTCTTAAGTTTGGACACTTGGATGCACAATTGAAGAGAAGCTGGTAAAGAAGTTGCTTAATTCTACGCGTTTCTCCCAATCATTGCCACAATAGAACAGTACTCAGGCTTGAACACTATGGCATTTGAGGAAGCTGTCAGAAGTCCTAAAGCTTATGAGGAACATACTACACCTGCTGAGAAAGTCAAAGATCCATCCGATCAATTGTTACAAAAGAAAACCAAGTCAAGACAAGCCGGCAGGGGTCGTGAACAGGATGTTGTGATCACATGGGCTGAGTTCGTGGGGGCGGCAGATCTAGTGGTCGTGGACAAGGGGGGTTGACACCCCACTAATAATAACTGAAGGCCTGAACAAGATGAACAAGGAGGTAAATGAGAACGAAAGAGCCTGCGATGTTATGACTGTGACAAACTTGGTCACTGTTCAACCTAGTGTCTGGCTCCTAAAAGAATCCCTGGTGAAGCTAATCTGTGTAAAAGATGATGAAAAACCCACTTTGCTAATGATAAAGAATGTACAGTATTTGAAGATGCTGGATGAGGGGAAACTGTTTCCTAATGAATATGCGAACGACAACAGCGAGGAAGGCACTGTTAGATTTAATCGTATTGTTTGATTCCTGGTTAGAAGTTAGTTAGTTTAGATTTAAATTTTAAAAATAAAAGGGACAGTTTTTGCCTTTTTGGGTAGTTATTTCTGGAAGTTATAGGTAGTTATTTCTAGAAGTTGTATTAGTTAGTAATAGATGTGTTGATTAGTACCAATAGTTGTGTTGGTTGCTGTCTATAAATACTCCAGGAACATAGAATTCCTGTATGTAGTTCACAATAAAACAAAATCAGAATTTTATTCTGCATTTGATTTGTTCTTCCTATCATTTTCTAACAATTGGTATCAAAGCGTGTGTGATCAGCGGCAAGAAAAGGGAGATCTGCCTTGACAACAGATCAAAAATTTTGACAAGATTCTTCCTCGCCTAGGACAAGAATAGCAAGTGGCTATTTTTTCCTTTGGCAGAAGCATTCCAACCAAACAGTCCGGGAAAAACAAATCAGCGGGGTAGTTTTCGTTTAGTGGCTTGGAAGACGGAAAAGCAGCGGCTTGTCTTCTGGTTGATGGTCAATTGCAGGTGGCTTACGACCCAGGAAGGAATCAAAGTCTAAGAATTTTGTGAAAACTGTCATAGGAATAAAAGTCGTACAATGGGAGAACAACGAAAATAAGACAGATTGTGACTACAAGGGAGAATAGTTAACAGTTTTCCAACCTTAACCCGAGGAAGAAGATATGCAAGGTAAACTACTATTCACTAAAAGTGATGGAAAAGAGAAGGTTAAGGAGCACAAAACTGAGCATTGCGGTTGCGGGAGCTCAAACCGAGAAAACTTTGGATTTGGCCGAGGTAGAGGTCGGGGGTCCGGGAAAAGTCGGGATGGTGGACAGTTTCAGCGGGAAAAGAGTCGCATTAGGTGCTTCAAGTGCAATGAGTTAGGACATTTTTTGAACGAATGTCCAAAATGGGATCAAAATGAGGACATTGCAAATTTGATTGAAGATGATGATGAACTAACATTACTGTGAAGATTGGTGTGAACAAACAACGATTAGGGGGGTGATTGTTAGATTCAATCGTATTGTTTAATTCCTGGTTAGAAGTTAGTTAGTTTAGATTTAAATTTTAAAAATAAAAGGGACAGTTTTTGGGTTTTTGGGTAGTTATTTCTGGAAGTTATAGGTAGTTATTTCTAGAAGTTGTATTAGTTAGTAATAGATGTGTTGATTAGTACCAATAGTTGTGTTGGTTGCTGTCTATAAATACTCCAGGAACATAGAATTCCTGTATGTAGTTCATAATAAAACAAAATCAGCATTTTATTCTGCATTTGATTTGTTCTTCCTATCATTTTTCTAACAGGCACATGGTATTTGGATGATGGTGCTAGCAATCACTCAACGAAAAGATTGTTGGAAGTGTGAAGTTTGGAGATGGTTCCACAGTTGAAATCGAAGGCAAAGGGTCTTTTTTTTTTTTTTGCAATGTAAGAATGGTAATAAGAGGCTCATCACCAATGTTTATTATATTCCCGACCATGTTGACACGTTGGGAACAATGTAAGAAAGTGGTTACCAATTGTGGAGGAGAGTTTGTCTCGACAAAGTTTGAACACCATGTAACAAAAATGGCATAAATCGGTATTTAACTGCACCATATACACCAAAACAGAATTGTGTGGTTGAACATCAAAAGCGGATGTTTTGAAAACCACAAGATCTATGTTGAAAGCCATTGTTGTGGGGAGAAGGCGTATGACATGTTTTCTACATCTTGAACAGGACACTGCCAAAAGCTTAGGAAAAGAAGAGACCCCGTATGAAGCCTTGAAAAGACAAAAGCCCAATTTGGAAGTTGGAACACTGAATGGTGTTTGGATGTACAGCCCACGTCAAAGTACTGATAGCCAAACTAACAAAATTGACAGGAGCAAGTCAACGGTACATCCTGGGAGCGAAGCGAGATGTAAAGCATAAAAGCCTTACAACCCAAGAAATAAAAGATTATGTGTTAGCATGGATGTCCAATCCAAAGAAAGCAAACCATGGGACTGCACTAAAGATATGGAGACAAAAGAAAACGAAAGCAAAGCTGAATTTGTTGTTAAAAATGAAGCTTGTGTGATTCATCAGGGATCGACTTAGACTAGTGGCAGCACACTTAATACCTCGCCCAATAGCACAGATTGGGCGTGATCCAGCATCTAAATCTGTTAGCCAATTGGAGAACAGTTAGTCATCTAGCTCAAGCAGCCCAAATTCACCTAACTTGGTTCCAGGTACTCTTATTAGCCCACTAAGTGATCCTAACAGCCCGAAAGAGTTTGAAAATCTTAGTGCAGCCGTGCAGCCGGTGCAAGTCCGGTTTAAAGTTCACATTATGATGATACACCCCCTCGAGGGTTTCCCCAGCTAAATGATGTGCACTCAAGAACTCATCGATACATCAGAAGGGTTTCAATCCTCTTCACTTTGATGTTTTAGAACTATTACTTTTCAATGAAGAACAACAACAACAACAACAACAACAAACATACAAAGTTGTAGTAGTAGTAGTAACAATAATATTCCGTTAATAATAACAATCTATGAAGCACTAGTGCGGCAAAACACACATGCACGAAGCACCATGCGATTTCTGGTGCGACGGTGCTCCTTGGTGAGCGTAACATGTGCAATGGGTATGCTGACTGAACCTTAGGTTTGTTTCCTATTGCTGCATCGCCGAGAGAGAAGAAGATACAATGGATCTGTCGGAGTTCATTCCCTCTGATGTCGCTCTTTGATATGGACATGACCAGAGGAGTTGCCATTTAGGAGGGTGGCAGATAATCAGGAAGAAAACGAATGCTAAGAGTTGGGACAATTTATACCAAGTCTAGGATTTAATCATTTGGGCCTGTTTGGGCCAAATTTTGGGTGTGATGAGACCTACCCATTAAAAATTAAGATAATTGTTATCTTTTGTGGATATTTTGACAATAAATACATGTATTTTTCAAATAAATATTAATTGAAATAAGGAATATATAAAGAAATTTCCCACGCCCATTGCCACACCTACACCCGCACACCATTTTTTGAATATTTTCCACTCGCACACTGATTGACGCACCCGCACTTGTGCTTCATAGATAATAATGGTAGTAGTAGTAGTAGTAGTAGTAGACTAGTACTAATAGTACTAATAATAATAATAATAATAATAATAATAATAATAATAATAATAATAATAATAATAATAATAATAATAATAATAATAATAACAACAACAACAACAACAACAACAATAATAATAACCATCAAAATAAAACAATTATGGGTAGTTTCTGGTAGTTATCCTATATTGAAATATTTGTGTTGATTTATAACAATTGACTTGGTTTCTTCTCTATATATTAGAGAACACAGAGAATCCTAACAGTGATTTGACCACAAAATTATTTTGTGTTTATGCTTTGTTTTGAAATTGCCTTTAATACTTTATCTAGCATTTTTTCTAAGATTATTGTTATTGCTTTGAATAATAAAAATGCTTTTTAGTCAAAATATAGGCAGACGAGAGCCGACCAACAAACTTACCTCATATTCGTCAAAATCACTCCCCCCAGTGCGCTGATCAGGTTGTTTACGCTTGATGCTTGAAAAGGCAAATAAAAGAATTAGAACCAAGAAAAAGCCATCGTAGGTTCAATCACAACCCAACAAATCAATACCTTATTTTTTTTACAGAAGACAAGGTAACAAAAAAGTGCATTTATTGCTTCATTTTATTTTGAAATACAAAATTACAACAAAAGCAACCCTGGTATAATAATCCCAACTCAACGAGGTCTTGAGAGTCTAAGAAGTATGCAATCCTGATTGATTCCCTTGATGTTCAGAACTTCATAAAATGGAAAGTTACTTCTAGATGAACACAATGAAATGATTGTCAAGACTCAAGACTTACCAACCCTGCGAAATGTTACAATGTTTTTAACCATCAAATTCTCACACAGGTGGAAACAGAGTTTTATTTCACCTTTTTTACTGTTGAGTACAGCAATTGTGGTCTAAAGTTAACAGTATTGAATACATCAAACTCGTTGGTTTAATTATGATTCTACTCCATGTAATTATATGACTAGATCATGTTAGACTTTGTATTGCATGTGAATATGTATTACTCCGTACCATTAAAGACTGAATTACCTTGTGCTCATCTGATTTGCTCCACCCATCCTGCAACCCTGCATCAACGATGACGAAAAAAATCATCAAAACCAAACCCAATATATTGAGCAAGGGGACTCTTTATCTTGCATTTTTCCAAGACTATTTTTATCGCATTGCCATCAAATAATTTCTTTCAAGTCAAAATATAGACAGACCAAGAGAGGCAACCAATTGTAACATCAGGGTACAGAAAAGAGCAAATGTAATTTGTTTAACAAATTACTACAAAATTTGGACCTTCGGAGAAAAATATATCCAAAATACTCCTAAAAAAATATGCACAATAATGCTCCCAACAGATAATTTCATAATCTGTGTCACATAAAATGCTCCAAAGATAATTCAGTTCATCCTCTATTATGTCTACACTGATTTGACTCTTCATCAGCACCGAATGGAATACTCTGCAATTTGGACAGTCTTACAATAGCACTCTCAAAACTCATGTATAAAATGCTCTGAGAATGTGGCCAAGTCAGTGGGTTGAAATAAACAAAATAGCCATATCAGCATAGACGTAATGAAAGAATGAACTTCGCTATCATTGGAGCTTTTATGTGACAAGCTTGGAAGTATTCTTGTGCAATATCATTCTAGATGTGTGTGTAAACAGTCCACACTTAGGAGTATTCATGTACATTTCCCATTATATTTTATTACTCCTATAGTCGCATTATTATTATTCTTTACAGCATCGTGTTCTACAATTTTATGTCAAAACACATGTTCACTTCTTTTTGCACAAATTTATTACATATAAAAAATGAATTACCTTGTCTTCGTCTAGTTCACTCCATCCATTGTGCAATCCTGCATCGACAATAACAATAAAATTATCAACCCCAAACCTAATATGTTGGGGAATGAATCTTTATCTTGTATTTTCTCATTATTATTGTTATCGCTTTGTTGTTTGTTGTCAAGTATTGCTTCATAGTCATACAGACAGACCAAATCTCAGAGAGAGCAGACCAATCGTGAATGATAGCAGAAAGGATGCTTCTATTAGATCCTTGATTCAATTAATACCCAAAACTTCTTTGAACATATCAAACAATAAATACATTTCAAAATCACTTTTACGTAAAGTATAATTAAATATATATAATTACTTACCATCACCCCAAGTCAACTTGATCTGAAGATCATAATCATTTGTCTCTTCTTTAAAGTAGCAATGTCCAATCTCGAACCTTCCATTGCAAAATAGATGATCTTTCATAGACACACCACAAAAATCTACTTCAATAACAAGGGACGAATCCATTGGAACCGCAATGACATTTCGAGAAAGTGGTACTTTTCCATCATTCTTCAATTGTACCGCATCCTTCTTAGTCCTTCTAAAAAGCACGCTTCGAAAATAATCTCTCTTGAACTCAGTTGAGTAGTCAAAGTTGCTATATTGCGCCATTGCACTTCCATAGATCCTATCAACTCCGAAATGAAAACTCTTAATCTTTAAAATGATCTCGATGCTAGCTTGACAAGCTCTTGGGAAAAAGGAGTAATGCAATGCACAAAACCCATCTTTGCCAGGAAAAACAGAACATATTTGGGTGTTATAAGGTAAAGTACAGATGGGGGCTCCAAGATCATAATTAGCAAAACCTCTATTCGCAAATTTCCCACTAACATCTTGCAGATTGACCTTCAATTTGAGCATGCCTTTCAGATCAAACTTCATACACACACCTTTCAATGGCAAAACCTTTTGTGGATCTTCTACTTTCTCGCCATCTTTACCATTACTCTTGAATATGTAGTAAGTATTATTATCAGACGAGAATTCAACAGTGCCAGCAATTTTCAACGCCCGCTTTGTTTTACAGCCAATAAAGATAGAGTAGAACTCTGCTAATCGTGATGGTATCTGTACGCTTGGTTGACCTTTATAACTAAACCTAATTGAAAAAATAAAATTACAAACCAATAAACATTTTAAAAAGCGGCTAGGCTAAGATATTGCAAGTGCATAAATGGAAGAATCACAAACCTATGGTTGAGACTGATGGATGTTGACGTTCCAAATCCAAACTGAATAGGAATGGAAAAATGTTAGATAAAGAGTGAAGTTGTCAAATTAAATACATCAAACTAATGCACTGTTATCTTACTCTAATGTGTTGCCTTTCAACAATGTGTCTGTAGTGTTAGCAATAGAAAACAAGATGAACATGAACTAAAATGAAACCTTCATTTCAGGTAATATTTTTATTACTCCTGTGTGTGTGTGTGTGTGTGTATAGTGTTTTATAAATTATAATTTAGTGGCTTAGGCCATGCTGGACTTCATTTTGCATAGAGTTATTACCTTTGGACGACAAATTGCCTCGAATGCGTCATAATCTCTCCACCCAGGCTGCACAATCAATGGGTATGGAAACAATCTTGCATCAACAACAATCGCAAAATCATCTGCAGCCTCTGCATATTCACTTGCATGTGCACCATTTCCAGTCAACAACTCTACTCTTCTTTTAATCTTTCTGCATGTGTCATAGTCCCTCAAGTCCAGATCAAGTTCAAGTGACGAATATGCTGGCAACCCCAACCATGCTCTCGACATGCAAAGTTCATTATTCATCACTACTGGTTCAAAGCCATCCTGCTTTTCAAAAAGAACGCACCCTTCTGAATCATAGTTTCCATAAGTGTTCTTAAACCGTGCAACAATTTTTCCAGCAACATTAACAACTCGGCCCTTCTCTTTGCCAGATAATCTAACATCCACTCGGCAAAGAGCAGCAAATGGCATTGCAATATAAGTCAAGGTAGCGCAGCAAACTTCATAATGGAATTCCTTAGATATCAGTTCTTCAAAATTACCTCTAGTTGCATCACCCACAAAAATATCCTCTTTAGCAAACAGAACACCCTTCCTCCCAATTTTGTGATAGAGTTTAACTACTATAGTTGTTCCTTGCAATTTTGTCCACGGATAATTAAGGGGCCAACTAAGAGTTAAATTACCACCACATGAGCTAATTCTCTCAGCATCGTTGGCCCTTCGTTTGTAAAGATCAAGCTTCATTCGTTTTCCACTCTTGATATCTTGAAAACAAACCCGAATCCTACCATATACAGCAAGTTTATTAATTTTTGGTTTTACATGCACTGAATGCACATGAAGTAAAGGGCCAGCATTGACATGTACTCTGCCATTTAGCTCTTCGTTTTCTCGACTCTTATTGATATCATGAATAGAAGAATCAAACATAGGGGTCGCCATATGTGGGCAGAAATTGATGATACAGTTTACCACATCTTGTAGTGAGACATAGGGGCAAGCTTTTTGAAGCTCCTTGACATGTTCTGGTGTAGTAACGGGGTAATCATTTAGAAGCTTCATGACATATTCTGGTGTAGCAATGGGGTAATCTTCTTGAAGCTTGGTGGCATCCATGATGCAAAGAAAGATTAACTGCAGCATGTCAGGTTAAAAGACGAAATAAGAGATCTGATAAGACCCAGAAAGAAATCTGCGTTGCCCAAAATGGCGTGAAACGCACATATACATTGCAGAACCTTAATGGAAAAAAAATCACCATAGATCAATTAATCTACCTCTATATGAAATCAAACATAAACCTAGTTATCAAAATCTGACTAATAACGATACTATTTACGTTTACCTCCCCTTTTGCGGCTGCCAACGGAAATAACGGCGAGGAGCGAATGATTTTTCAGTATAGGCTACGAAGAGAAAGCAAGTTGGGAGCGATTGGATTTCAATATCACCGATGATCGAGTCGAGATGGCAATGGCTACGGCTGGACCCAAAATTGGGCAATGTGTCCAAAAACCCGTTTGTATATATCCCAGTATTTATTTTCATTCAATCGGTGTTGACGACTAACAAGGTTTGTTTGAAAAAAAATGTTAAAAATTACCTCGTTCTAAAACTATATTTCAGTTATTATTTATACGGTTAAATTTAAATTATTTTCTAAATCTATTTTTGTTATTTATTTAATAAAATAATTTAGTTTTGTCACCTCTCGTTTTTTAAAATTTTTAATGTAGTTTTTAAATATGTACTACCTCCGTCCTGTGAAACATTTTCCTTTCTTTTTTTATCCGTCCCACAAAACACTTCTCATTTCTATTAAAAAGTCACTTTTACCCCTTACTTTTTCATACCCTAACTATCACATCATACCTTTTTACTAATAATCTATCCATAAAATCATACTTTTACCTATCACATCAAAGGATATTTTTGGAAATTCAATACCAAAATATACTTCCTTAAATCCCTACTAAAAAGCAAATGTCTCATGTTTCACGGGACGGAGGTAGTATATTTTATTTTTTAACTTTACACATACAATCAAATAAATTGAAAATAAAGTCGGTTAAACTTCACAAACACAAACGGAATGATGGTTTTAGGGGGGAGGGAGTATCAGTTTAGAAATATACGAATTACTTATTTTTAGAGAAACATTTCGAGAACATACTTTAAGCTTAGATGATCGAAAATATAATATTGAAATATCTTTTAATTGTTTGACATTTAATAGATATTTTAGGAAAAGGACCATTTATAGAATAAATCTAAATTATAAATGACTACATTGGTAATTATTAATTATTAGTAGCCTCCGCCTTAATTTAAAATAATCATTTTGATGACTTATTCATAGTTTAAATAATAAAGAGTATCAAAATACCCTCTATCCTCTATTCAAGTGTCGTTTAATAGGAATTTTTATATAGAACTATTTAGAAAACACATCTCAATTATAAAGGACCATGTTATTAAAGCAAGCCCCAAAAGGGCTAACCCAAACCATTGCACAGGAGGATGCCGCACAAACCACCATGAGTCCCATACACTGTTCATTCGGCCTAACTTGCCTCAAAAGCATTATCTAGAGGTGAGAAGTTGTTATATCCGGGCCTGGCCCTATTATACCCTCCCCCATGTCCTACACCCTCGCAAAGACCAAAAGATGCACGTTCAAACATTATGATCCATTTTAGTGAGAATTCCGAGTCCTTCAACCCGAGCGGCCAGAATAACTTTGGGCCAAAGGGTTTTACAAACCGACTCCCACTTTATCCAACCCAACCGTAAATATCCAAATCCCTTTTCCATTTAATTCATTTCAAAATAAAGTTTTTATTACTCTTATTTTAGCCCCTGGCTGAAAAATAAGAGTGTGCAAACCAAAATCTTTTGTTTGTGTTATTTTCCTTCTTTTAAGCCTTTTAATTAAGAAATAAAACCTTCTCTCGCTTCCTCTAAATCCCTGGCCAGATATCCCTCACAATCCCAACACATCACCCATAAAGAGCCAAAATCATGACCCACCTCCAGCCCCTACCTCCTGCTCATGTTTTCCCTCACAATAACCCAAAGCCATAACTCCAAAATACCCACAAATAATACCCAGCCCTGTCCCCTTTTAATGACCAGAAACCACCCTCCATTCTTACCCAAATAATACCCACAAAACTAGGGGTGTGCATTATTCGGGCCGGACCCGGACTGACCCGAAACCCGACCAAAACCGGACCGGACCGGTCCTTATTCGGTCCGGTCTCCGGTCCCAAATTTTTCCTTATTCGGGTTCCGGTCCGGTCCGGTCCGATCCACCGGGTTTCGGTCCGGACCGGTGGACCGGTTAAAATTTAATTTTTTTTATTTTTTTTTCAATATACTTTTATAATATTATATTTTTCTAAAGTTTTTCTTATATTTAAAATTAATTTAACTTTAATACTAAAGATTTTTATATGTTTTGATATTATTATTTAATATAATTTTTTAAATACATTATCAATTCAAAATAATATATGAGTTCTAATGATTTTGAAATATTTTTAATATGAAAAGTGTAAAAAAGTAACATTACCTTTATATTAGCTTTATATATTTTGTTTGAAGTTTTTTTAAAAAAATTCAAAACAACTATGCATGACTATGTTTAGTGCATGTTATAATTAAAAATTTGTTGTAGTTATATCTTTATTCAATTGAATACTTAAAATTAAATAAATAAAATCAAATTTAAAAAAAAAATAAAAATAACCTTTATTCGATCCGGTCCCGGTCCGGTCCGAGTTTTACCGGTCCGATCCCGGTCCGGTCCTTAGCTTAATCGGTCCGGTCCTCGGTCCACCAAATGCTCCTTATTCGGTCCCGGTCCGGTCCCGGTCCGGTCCAGGTTTGACCCGATGAACACCCCTACACAAAACCCAGGAAAACAACCACTACAATCCTAAAACCCAAAACCCCACAATCCCCAACCCAATCCCTGATTTTATTCCACTAAGGAGACAGGAATGAGTGGCACATACCCCATGCCTTGGAAGAGATTGTTGCAGGGAAGCTTCTCTAAGTTGCATTCAATGTATTGTATTATTTCCCCCTTCCCCCTTTCCTATATAACTCAGGCCTTGTGGCCATTGTAAAACCAATTTTTGAATATTAAAAATATTTTATTTTTTGAGTATTATTAAAATAGTGTGATGCTATTTTAGCCAAATTCTTAATTCTATATCTTAAAAGTGGTTATCTTAAGTGTAAGTTTTAGGTTCTAGATATTTGATTAAGTGTGTCATATCTTAATTAAATTCTAGATTTAAACCCCAAGTTATGATAAGAGTGTGTAATACGGAGTATCTTTTAAACACCAACTTGGTTTATCCATCCTTAATTTTCTTCCATTTATACCTCTCCATTTCTCCTCTTAATCTTACCCTTTTCTTCCATTAAAAAAATACCCAAAAGAACTCCTTCACTTTCCCATATTTTCATTCAGCCCATTCCCCTTCATTATTCCACAATTCCATCTCCAAAAATAACAACTTGATAAGACCCCTGATTCACCCCTAACAGAAGTCTCACACATTGTCTCAAACCATCAAGTGGGAGGGCACACTACAATTCACCTTAGGTTCCATATATATAATGTTAAATTGTACCTAACTCACCACAAAAAAAAAAGATTCTCTAGAGGTGAGTCTACCTCAAATTTGTATGCAGTGGACTCAAACTTAGTAAACAACACACTGTGCATAATATAGCAAAGAGAAGTCATTCATCTTATGAAAGAGAAAAAACACTACAGCGAAGTAGAGATTTCAGCTTTTCCCTTTTCAACTCATAGACCTCGGGACTAATGCAACCATAAAACAAGGAAGAAGAACTTGCACTATTATGCTTCTTTTCACTAGTCTTATACCCATTCACAACTTTAGCTGAGCAAGAATCTTGAAGTGGCAAAGAAGGCAGAAAATCATCATCTTGGGATAGTAGCTCTGCTATCTCAGATTTATAGTAGCTAAAGTAATCCGGTCCAAAGGTCTTGGAGCCATTTGAAGCAACTCACCCCATTGCAGCTCCTATAATGATAACATATAAGGGTGTAAATATGGAGAAAAATACCATCCCCTTCCGGTGATCTTTTCTATGTGTCCAAATATTCACATTGGTAATTTGAGATGCTTCTTTATATACGACATGAAATAAACAAATTCTAAAAGTTACAATTAGGGCCTGTTCAGACCAACAGAAAATGCGTTCACGGAATTGGTGTTAGAAAATGACTCTTTTTTGTTTTTTGGGAAATTTGTTTTTCCATTGTTTAGCTAAAAGTTCTGTTTGGTTTATTTTCCCTTTGATAAACTAACATTTGTTGGAGCCCATATCTTGGCAAAAGGCTACTAATATCAATATCCGCCATAGATTGGCAGGGCACTTCAGAGCCAAAAAGCATTAGCTGCAGAGAACTGTTGGGGCTTACTAGCTCTTGATGATATCAGATAATGATAAGATTAGCCCTAATGAATAATGATTAGCACAGGCGGTTATGATGAAGACCAAAACTAATCATAGATTCGGAGTACTAAAAACTGAAACCAATAGCCATCTTAGAAATTAAAACCAGTGACCCAGTTCACCCATTTAAATCCAAGAAATACATATAGAGACGCTACTAGAATTTTCATTATATGAAGAAAAAGTTGCATATTTTAAAAAACTTGCATTCAAAACCTCATACCAGGCAGGGAGGAGAAGAAGAAAAAAGAAGCTGCAATAAATTGTTTCCGGTGAAAAGTGCGGCAGAGGGAGGCGGCGTTGGCGGAGAGAAGCGGCGACGGCAATGAAGAATGAGATTCCTTATTAGCGATCTGGGAACCAAAACAGCTTCGGCTATGGAGTTGTAGCCAAGAACTTAATCATTTAGTTTCGGCTGTTTTGGTTATGGATTAAATATTTAAAATGTTACTCAATAACTATGTATTTTTTAAATTAGCCCCTAAGATGAACTAACTGTCGAGATGTATCCGATAATTAAAAATAATTCCCAGTTTGACCCTCCGCCTAACGTCCATCAAAATCAAGTTAGAACGGCATTCAAAATTATTCTTGTTTTCCAAAATGATCATTTCTAATCGAGTATTTCTTCCAAATTAGTCAATTTCCGAATTCAATGAGATTTTTATATCCAAAACAGACTAAATTGAAAAAATATCTAACTATATATGATCAATTTGAAAAATTAGTATACGTTTTAATGCCGTTTTAACGCTGTATTGAAGACAATTGGTTGAGAGGGACTAAATTAGACATTATTTTCAAGAGGTCAGTTGCATTGACATTGGAAACCAATTTCATGGGAGGACTCGGAGGTGCTCCGGTGTCCCGTTTGTAAAATTGACAATTACTACCTCTCCTAACCCCCCGTTAACCCCCTCCCCTCCGGACCCGAACACACCCCCACCCCTTTCAATTGTGCCCCCAAGTTAATTTTGATATGAAATCAAAATTTGACTACAAAATAAAAATTAACTTAGGGGTGTAATTGAACATGTGGGGGAGGTTTTGAGTCAGGGCGAGGCGAGGGTTTACCAGAGGGGTAGAAACCGTCAATATTACGAACAGAGCACCAAAGCACCCAAAGTCATCTCATGGCATTAGCTCATAATGTCATTGAAACCAAAGGGTATGTTCAATTAGCAAGTACCATCTCGATAATAAATCATTTTGAAGACTAAGGGGCTGTTTGGCAACTTCTGAATGGGCAAGTGCTGAACCAGTAAGAGGTCCGAACCATTAAGTGTTGAACCAGTAAGAGGGTCTGAACCATTAAGAGCTAGTATATTGCTTAACTATTCAGAGGCAAATGTCTGATCAATTCAGATAAGAGCTCTTAACCATTCAGACTCTGTATAATACTTAACCATTCAGAGGCAAATCTCTTAACCATTCAGACCATCTGAACCATTAAGAGGCTGAAACAAACAGTCAGAAACATTAAGTGCTGAAGGACATCTGAACCATTAAGAGGCTGAAACAAACAGCTCCTAACTTAAGAAAACACATTGTTATTGAGTACTATTTTAAGAATTTACTTAACGTATTATAAAAATTTTATATCATTTTGGTATTTCAAATTTATATTTTAACACTAACTTATTAATATTAAATTTACTTTCTAAAACAACATTTCTTTCTACAGTTTGCAATTCGAGTTTATAAACTTTAATTAAAAAATCAAAGGAAAAGAAAATTTTAACAAAGAAATACACTGTAACAAAAAAATTAATGTCTAATTTTATTTTTAATGAGGACTTAAGTGGCATGCGAGATTTGACAAAACTTATTTTTAATTTAATTTATACTCCCTCTGTCCAACTTTAAAGTTCCCACTTTCCTATTTGATTCATCCATAAATAATGCTCTCATTTCCTTTTTTGTCAACTTTCTTTTATTAAAAAGACTTAAATACCCTTCTTTCTCCTATGTTTTCCTCTCTCATTTCCATTCCTCTCTTTTTTCTTTCTTTTTTTCCTTTTTCCTGTTCGCACCTTCATTTGTTTCTCTAATTCTCTCCTTCCTTGTTCTTCTTTCCTTCTCTCTCTCTCTCTCTCTCTCTCTCTCTCTCTCTCTCTCTCTCTCTTCTTCTTCTTCCCTTTTTCTGGTTTTTTTATTCTTCTTCTCTTTCCTATTATTTTTTTCTCCTTCTCCTTCCAATTTTTTTCTTCTTCTTCCTCTTCTTCCCCCTTTCAATTTTTCATATCTATTCTTCTTCTTCAACCTTTTCTTCTTCCTCCTTTTCCCCCTTTCGATTTGTCCTTTCCATTCTTCTTCATCATCATCGTCAGATCTAAAAAACATATTCAGATCTGTGAATCAACGAATAAACATCTTCAGATCTCTTTCATTTTCATCGTCTTTGGTGTCGATGAAGAAATCCAATTCATATCTCTTTTCATCTCATTCATCGTCGGAATTTCACATTGGCCGGAAATTCGCTGGATTTCAATTTCCGGAATTTCTCTCTTAAACTATGGGGTTGGGCTGCAGCCTGCACGAACTTGGGACAGGTCTCAGTGGATAGAGTGGATAGAGGAGTGGGTAAGGTTGAGGGTATTTTGGGAAAGTCAACATAAATTTTAACTTTTATTAAACTCCGTGCCCAGTCAAACCAGAAACTTTAAATGTGGATGGAGGGAGTATATGTTTAGTATGAATTTAAAAAATTATATAATTAAAAATTATGTCAAAAGTTCTACAATACGAGGGGTGAAATGATTATTACTTTCTCAAATGGATCATAAAAATGGGTTAAACATGTAACTAAAATTTGATCATGTGAATAAGATAGTGAGAAAAAATATCCTTAGCCTAATGCTTACGGCGAAATGTTTAATCAAGTGAGCAAAGGCTATACAATATTAAGATTACAAAAAAAGATAGAGCAGTAATCTGAATTTAGATTAGATCCTTCAAATTAATGTTTACAATAGTATTTATGGGACAAAAAGAGAGTTCTACACTGGCATGGACGCCGGGATAGGGTTCATAGCCGAAGAAAGATCGAAGAAAGATTCAGAATACTCTTCTCTGATTTCTTTTATCTTATGCATAAAATTTTGCTGTGACTTTATAAACATCCCCAGCAGTACATATACTTAAGCTTTCCTCCCATTCACTGATTGACAGTGTTCTAGATGGCCTCCACCTCCAGACCACCCCCTGCAATGTAAGTATTTGTTGTGAATACATTGTTTATTAATTCAATTTCATCTTTTTAGTTGAACTTGACATTTTTTTTAATATTTTCTATTGTTTTAGTAATTTGAAGTATGAAAACTTTGAAAAATGCCATCGGTTAATATTTGACTTGGAATCGGATGTTCGGACACGGTCTGGGCGTTTAGTTAAAATGGTTTCTGGGCTGCGTACGGCTTGTTCTCAAATGGTTGCCACGTTGTGTAAAGTTAAGGAGGCCTGTGGGAAAGGTTTTCTTTAGTTGAAGTAGTAGTATGTAAAGAACTCCTTGAAGTTAGGTTTTAATAGAAAAGTATTTGGTTTACGTTGTGGGTTAATTTTTTAAAGAGCAATGGCATTATTTTTTATGATACAAAATACATAATTAACCAAACTCCGCGGATTGCAATAACCAGTGCTTATAAAGAAGATTGCACTAAGGTATTTGCCTACTTGGTTTGCAGCCAATGGTCGAGGCCTTATATATATTGAATCAGGATAATGCTTGGCGCAGAAAAGAAGGTTGTGAGGTTTTCTTTGTGCATATCTCTGAAGCTGTAAGGTTTAGGCAGGTAGAACACCAAATTTTCAAGGCATTGATCTCCAGTGAGCTGCATGTGCCGACATATCCTCCCGATATGACGCGTTATTTTAAGTGTTATCAGAATTGTCCCAATAAGGGAGAGATGGGGGAGGTACGCACATTGTTTGCTCCTGATAAAGTGTTTGATTTCCCCGATATTAGTTTTCCGCATGTGGATTCTGTAAACACATTTCCTAGCAATGATATATTAGTTAAAAATTGGGAAAAGCTGTCTAAAATATTTATTTTGTATGAGGTCACTGGAGCTTTTTTTGATACTATACGAGATTCTAGATTGATAGTCCCTACAAATAAGTGGAAATTGGAATTGATTCTTCGAAGAAGTCTTTGGGATTATTGAAGAGAGTTGAGTTCCTAACCGATCTCAATTTTTGTAATTCTGCACGACCTCTTTCCACAAACTCAACTCTTTTCAATAATCTCAAACACTTCTTCAAAGAATCAAATCCACTTATTTGTAGGGTCTCCATCAATCTAAAATCCCGTGTAGCATAAAAAACCTCCAGTGTCTTCATACAAAATAAATATTTTAGACAACTTTTTCTCAATTTTTAACTAAGATATCAATACTTGGAAATGTATTTACAAAATCCACATACGACAAACTAACATCAGGAAAATCAAACACTTTATCATGAACAAATAATGCTTGTACCTACCCTACCTCTCCTTTATTGGGACAATCCTGATACTATTTGAAAAAACGCGTCATATCGGCCTAATATGCAAGCACAAGCACCTCACTACATATCAATGCCCTAAAAATTTGGTGTTTTACCTGCCTAAACCTTACATTTTTAGAGATATGCACAAAGAAAACCTCACAGCTTCTTTTTCGTGCCAAGCATTATCCTAATTCAACATATATAAGGCCTCGACCATTTGCTGCAAACCAAGTACCTTAGTGCAGTCTCCTTTATAAGCACTAGTTATTTCAATCTGTGGAGTTTGGTTAATTGTATATTTTGTATCGGAAAAACAATGTCTTTCCCTTTAAAAAAGTAATCAACGACGTAAACCGAACACTTTTATATTAAAAACCTAGCTTCAAGGGGTCCTTTACGTACTACTACTTCAACCAAAGGAAAACTTAACCCACATGCCTCCTTAACTTCACACAACATGGCATCTATTTCAGAACAAGCCGTATGCAGCCAAAAAACCATTTCAACAAAACACTCAAGACCGTGTCCGAACATCCTACTCCAAGTCAAATACAAACTAATGGCATGGTTCTAGGTTTTCATACTTCAAATTAAAGTAGTAGAAAATATTAAAAAAATGCAACTAAAAAGATGAAATTGAATTAATAAAAACTAAATTCAAAACAAATACTTATATTGCAGGGGGTGGTTTGGAGGTGATTGCCATTTAAAACCTGTCAATCAATGAATGTGAGGAAAGTTTAAGTATAGGTAACTTTTGGGAATATTTATAGTCACAGCAAAATCTTATGCATAAGACAAAAGAATAAAAGAAGAGTTCTATTAGAAAATTTATAAGATATTATGCGAATCAACGGTAAAATAAAACCTCTTGGAGAAGATTTCAAATCACAAGCCATGAAGGCAAAGAGAGAATCAAAGCGGGGAAGGAGGCGGAGAGAACATAAGCGGGGAAAGAGGCGTTTCTCACAATTGCCCAAGCAGGGGAAAGTGAGACAGGATTGGATAAAACTTACCTGGGTTTCAAGCCAACCCCAAATAGAAGTAAACGGTCTGGATTTCAAGAATATCATTGCAAGTAACCAATTCTCTATACCAAGTAGTAAAAATGACACATGTCTAAAAATTAGACATAATCTAAAAAAATAGACATTATAAAATTTAATGTATATCAAATCAACATTTCAAGATTAATCTAATTATATTAAACAAATATTAGAATTTAATTTTCTATATCATGACTTCTGACCAAACTATTATAATTAAAAGTAGTCCATACAAAAAAAATGTTTTTGGACCAAAAGATAAAACAAAATTTAATGAAATATTTGTGTGCACCAAAATATTTGAAGATCTATATCAATCATTAAACCAAATTGAAAAGAAATAAAAATATGATGAAATAAAGAAATTAAAAAGTATAAGAAGAAAACTTGATCCATTTGAAACAATAATTGACATCCCAAAGAAAGATGACAATCAGGCCAAAAACACCAAACTTAATTAGGAAAAATCAGACCAACATAAATTTGTCATAGTTCACCACACAAGATGGTTAGATCAAGGTGATCCAAGTAAACCTTCAATCTTGAATAGATGAGATTGGAGATCAAGATGATTATAAGGAAAAACAACATCAAACGATAGTAAAAAAAATCTCCAACCAAAGCCATTCGAGAACATAAGATTTAAGAACATCATGTTCAAGAAAGAGATTGAAGATGATTGAGGAGAGATGAAGAAGAACAAGTTCAAGAGAGAGAGAGATTGTGATTGCGATGAGAGCAAGGCAAGGCAGGTCACACTGTTGGCCCCTCTCGTATGTTATCTATGGGAAAAGTGTATTTACTGTTGTGAATGTGAATGGGAAAATAATAGTGGTTGATTGGACGTATTCAATACTATTCCCTATTTTAATGCTAACGTTTCACCCATTCCTTTTTAACTTCCCAACCCCCGCTCCTCGTATTTAATTATTTATCGGTCATTAGCATCTCGCCTAATTATATGCCCCGTTAGTTAAGGAGTAATGAGTCCTTCCTAAAGGTAAATACATCCACCCCCTAAAATATCTCCAAATTCTAAAAAATAAGTCATAAGTCATCTATATATAAGTAAAATAATATTGTTTAATTATTTAAATTGACATTTATTTTTCTACTAAGTAAATAAGAAACAGTATTTTATGTGAGAAAGCCCACGAAAAACTGGCATGCACCCAATTTGTACAAAAGAAGCACTTTGTATTACTCCCTCCGTCCCAAAACATTTTTCTCAGTTTGACTTTTTTCCATTTTTAATTTTTGACTTTGATTTCAAATTTTGTCCTCTTTAAAAAATATTTTTTGAAATTTTTTTACAATCATTCAAAATATAGAGTTAGAAGATAATTGGTATAAATACATGAGGGTATTAATGTCATTTGTCATCTTTTTTTTATGTGAAAGTAGTTTTGGAACAGAGAAAAAGGAAAAGTGGGAAGAACATTTTGGGACAGATGGAGTAAATTTTTAATCATTACACTGTCACAAATTGTTAATTATATCAAACACTCAATGTCAAAAATTCAATAATATTTTGTGTTATTATAAATCATCACACTAATACAAAATATTAGTATATGTCTTCAGACACAAAGTAAGATACCACTTTTGGTGTACAAATATTATTTCCCAAAAAATATTCTTTTCTCCCTTGCATCATTCATTACTAATTTGTATATGTCATTTCATATGTTCCCACCGATATCGTACAATATTTGAAAAATTTCAAGATTGGCTCGGTACTTGTTGACCCCTAATTCTTACATCCGGTCAAAGTTTGAATTTTACATTTGATTTTATATAAAGGATTATGCATATTTTGAAAACCAGGCCGGACCGGAAAGAACCGGCATGTTGAATCAGACCGATCATTTTTTTTTTTTTGCAATATTTTTCCAACAACATACCACCATGGGCGTTTGAGCCCAAGATTTTTTAAGTCATTTAGTTGAGCTCCTATGCAACCAAACTAGGGTGCTGATTGTCACAATTTCACTTAATCTTTTATGATATTTTTAAATTAAAAAAATATGGTATAAAAAATTTTTTTAGTTATAAAAAATATAATCTTTTAATACTCCCTACGTCCTAAAATTTTCTTCCCAGAAAACTATTCCAACTTCATGGGAATTTATATTTATTTGTGTTTTTTCATGGCCTATATAATAAAATAAAATATTCTTATCACCACTTATTTTGTTGAACTTTTGATGTAGCTTTTAAATATGTATATTTTATTTTTTATTTCTATACCAATATTTAAATAAAATAGTTTGAAAAAACCTAGAATTTTTCTTCGTTTTGCGCAATGGGAAGAAAGATATAGGACAGAGGGAGTATAATATTTCTATTTGCTAGAAAGTCACCAAGTGTCAAACTTATGTGGGCTATGTTAAGATGAGATGCCAAGCCTTTATTGGTTGCTTATGTGACAAATTTTATTAATGATGAATTGACCTTTCTTTTTATTTTAATGTGAACGAGAAGTAGATCCAGACGCATATAATTCAGCAAAATAGCATCGGTGCCCCCGTTATTTACAAAAAGGGCATCAAAATCCTCTCTGTTTTGAAAAGTTATTTGTAAAGTTTCTATGGTTTTGAAATAGAAAACACAACCTAACCTATTTTTAAAGTAAAAATGACATTTATGTCCTTTCTTTTCCTAAATCTTGAATTTTCCCTATTTTATTTTTCTCTATTATACAAATATATAAAATAAAATATACGCTTCTCATCTCAAATTAAAATTTTCCATAATGTATTTTTGGAAAAAAAGATTTTTTTGGAGAATGTTACAAAAGAAAATGAAAAATAAAATATTATGTATATTGTACAAATAATAATTGAAAAAGATAATGAAAAGAAAGAAAAATGTAAAAAAAAATCTTTTTTCTTTAATTCAGTATTTTATTTTATCATTTTTTCTTCTTCATTTTTTAAAGTCCTTTGAAAATAATTTTACTTTTAAATAACAAATAAGTTAGGATTTTTAATTATAGACAGAGTGAGTATATGTTATTGAATTTTTTATTTTATTTATTTTACTTTTATTTATAATGAAAAAGTGTATTTTATTTTATTTTTTAATTTTTCACTTTCTTTTCTAACATTTTCTAAAAAAATATTTTTTTGAAAACTAAATAAATGAAAATTTTTTAATTTGATAAATGGGGTGTGTATTTTATTTATTTTGTTGTATAACAAAATAATGCAAATAAAAGAATGAAAATTGAAGGTAGAGAAAAATAAAGAGGAGAAATTTCATTTTATTTCTAAAAATAGGCAAGAGGGAGCGCATGTGCACTATTTAAAAAGTATAAAGATTTTAGAAATACAGTAACTTTTGAAAGTAGATGGAGTTTTGGTGCTCTTTTTCTAAACCACGGAAACACCCATGCTATTATCCTTGTATAATCCTATATACCCTATATCCTATATCCTATCATATATATCATATCCTATATATCCTATCCTATATCATATACTCCCTCCATCCCCCTGTATTTGTCCACATTTGACTTTTGGAACTGTTCATCTAAGCACTTTGACTCATCAAATTCTCTCAATGTGTAAGCCTAAATATAGTCATGTGTGATCTTGTTTGGTTTATCTTAACATATAGATTATTAATATATAATTTTTATAATTTTTTAATATACAAATTACAAGATAAAATGGATTAAAAAAAGTATTGGATGGTGTGCAAAAATGAAAGTGGACAAATACAGGGGAACGGAGGAGGTATATCTTATATATCATATATCATATATCTTATATCTTATATATCTTATATATATCCTATCCTATATATCCTATATATCCTATCCTATATATATTATATATATATATACACTTTATCCTTTAAATGTAATATTTGGGAGTTAAAAATTTCATTGATCAAACATATCATTTGAAAAATGAACCGGGTGTTAAAAATAATAGAGTTAATAATTCTTAAAATTAACTACATGAAACTAAAAAGATAAATAATTTAGTCACTATGTTCAATCAATAAAAAAAATTAAATAAAATAATGTCAAATCAGTACTCCGTATGTTGATTAAAACTACCAACTCATTAAAATAATAAATAGACAACAGATGATTTATTAAAAATGTCATATTAGCTCGTGATATGCCAATAAGCCCAATATCAAAGTCTCAAATTTTATAATAAAATGAAGGATTAGCCATTAAATATCATTAGCAATTAATTGAAAGTTTTTTATAATTAACATTTATAACCTCTTAATTATAATTACTTTACATATACCTCGTAAAAGTTTTTCATATGTGCAATAATTAGGAATGAATATTTGCTCTAATAAGTAGTTTTCATACTTTAAGTTAAAATTGCCAAGTCACTTAAGTCATCAAATGTGACTGATGATGTGTAAAAAAAATTGCTAAGTAGCCTGCCACATGTCGAATTTCTGGGAGTTTAACTCCTAAATATTATATATAAAGGATAAAGGATAAAGGATGTTCGAAGAAATGGAAATATGATTCATTATAGTTATGCGGCATACCTGTCACTCTGTAATTGGACGGGGGGTGTGGCCGAATGAATCGGAGCTAATTTTATCAGGTTGGTCTGCGGAGGAGACATCTGCCCCATTTAATTTTGCCGAACATGGAGTTACATAGAGAGATTCCACGACAGAGCCTCAACACCATATGCAGAGTAGATTCTGTTCGAATCCCAAAACAAGCACCAACAAAGATTAAATTCCACGGTGATTGGATTGAATCAAAAAAGGCATCATGAACAAAACCCTACGTTTACCTTTTTAGATGTAGCCAATAAGGGTCCGGCTGTCTTCAAGCTGCTTCCCGGAGAAGATTAGATCTCTGCTGATCTGGCGGAACTCTACACACACTCTCTCCGTACATCTAAAATACGGAGTCCAATATCCAATATGCACTCGTAATCCACAGACTAAAATGAGTATGCGAGAAGCTTCACCATATTTTTTTATTGGATTGTGCGGTCCAAATTTTCCGAAAGACTAAAGAAAAATGTTACTGCTTAAAGCTCACTGGCAGAGATGATGGAAGTTTGAGCACCATACCTGCAACAATGACCTCTCTAACCTGAAACATAAGAAAAGGTTTTTAGAAAATTTGAATATTTGTTTGTTAAAAAATTTAAAAAATTTAAAAAATTCAAAAAATGGAGAAAATTTTTTAAAATTGCAATGGATCGTTGAATTTTGATATGTGATTATTTTTCATGCGATGAACTATAACTTTGAGCGAGAGCACAGTTAAAGTATGATTTAACGTAAGTAAGATGAGTTAAACTAACACAGGAATGGCAATAAACTCCAGGACAAAAATGATTAACACTAATGATTCCTAATCTGATATTCAAGCCATGCAAAAAGATTGATCAAAGGGCTGTAAATGAAGACTAAACCTGACTAATGATAAAATTCAAACTACATGCTCCCAAATGAAAACATAAAACAAAGCTATTACCAAGTGACTACTAACTTTAAGGATGCACAATAATAATTTAAGAAACAAACATGTCCCCCAGAAGCATAAGGTCGTATGTAAGTAGCTGCATTACTGGACTTTGAAGGACGTGTTGCCAAGCTGCAATACCAAAAGTAGCTGCTTGTGTGCCAGACTGCCAGGTGAGTTTGTGACATTGCTTCAAGTATAGACTTTGTATTGAGTAAGGTTAGTGTGGAAACTATTGCTTCATATCACCCCAAGCACATGTCATTTCTCTAAATAAGACGACATATGTTTTTCTTCATACATCAGGACTTAGCTAAAACTTTCTGTGCAATATCACCTCATATCTACCGGGGTTAGTGGATAAGACCGTCTAACTAATGGGAGGCATGGCAATTTGGTTGTATAACCTTCTTAGGTCCTATGAGTTTTACTAATCCTATTTATAGCAAGTATGTTGGATTTTCCCATATATGTGAAGAATAATAGCATTTGTAAACATTCGCAAATTTGTATTGCCTTTCATTTCTATAAAATACTGATATTTAAACCACCAAATAGTAGACTTCTTCTGTAATGAAAGTGTACCATAAAAAAGAACCATTATGTATCATGATTTGTATTTTTAAAAAATAGTGCCAAAATATTGAATAATAATCTTTAAAACAGTGTGCAATAAAAAAGACATACTTGGTGGCTAGTGGCTATGTATAGCTAAACGGTTCAGAAAGCTATTACCTTATCCAGTTACAATTATGCGCAAGGCAACATCTTGGATTCTAAAGCAAATTCTGCATAGTTTCATACCAAAGAAGCTTAACATTCTTAATACTCACACATAATAAGAGACCAAATATGTTAAAAAAAGAATTAATACTTGAAAAGAAATTGTGATAAATTAAAAAAAATTGAGAACAAACCTGAATTCTACAGTTTTTTCATATGCTCTGTGCTTCATTTCCACTTCGATGGTCGTAGAATCAAGGGTCTGCACCACCCAAGCCTCTCATTAGTAAAAATTAAAATCTTACTCTCAACATATATAAATTATAACAAGTAAATTAAAATAGAAATAACAAAATAGTCTTATCTTTTACCTGAATCTGTCTCCTCATTTCTAGGGTTGGGTGGAAACTGAGATGCCAGATATTCCTCGCCCTGCAATTCTTGGATGCCGTCGTCGCGTGTCACAAAACCGCAGCGGAGAAATAACGCAAGGTGGATGGTTGAAATCTACCTCTCTGTCTACTTGAAATGTGAACTGAAGCCTGCCAATGCATAGGAAGAGGGAAGAACCAGCCGGACGATGGATTGTATGTACGATGCGGTCTTAGAAAAGTAAAAATAGACATAATTTTAACCGAAAAACGTACCCTGAAATTCTAACCGAGAAGTTGTACCGGGTAAACTTAACACAAAAACCCTAGACAAAAAGGAGCGGCTTAGCAGGTTCATTAGCTTTGACAGTGCTGAAGTTGCTGTCGCCCACTGCCAATCATTCAAAGATGTTTATAAAGATATAATTCACCAATTAGTAGTGGCTTACAAAAGTAATTGAGCAATTTAATAACCCAAAAAAGAAAAGATGAATGTTGAAAGCATGCCTCATTTTTCAAGCCTGATTTCTTGAGATTGGTTGATGAAGAAGAAGAGGAAGAGGAAGGCCCCTTCACAGCCAGCAAAGATTCAACAGAGGCAGCCAATGAAGCTGCAGGAGAGTTAAAATTCAGCATCAGTTTATTCTCTAATGTATTGTATTAAAAGCTTCTAAAAAAGAACAATTGATTCAAGAAAGCAGTGAGAAAAACTGAGAAAGAGAAAAATATAAACCATATCTTGAAAGTGTTGAAAGAACCTTCATGGTAGAGGTTTCATCTTATTTCAACATATGCAGGACAAAACAACAAATTTAATCTTCACTTGCAAAAAAAATGGAAATTATTCGTGGGATAATTGGCAAAAGAATGTCAAACAAATGTTACTGTGAAACAATTGGCAATTGATATGAATTCATCCCCAGAAAAATAAACATGGAGAGAAGAATCGAGCAATAATGGGTGAAAGCTAAATTCATCAAGAGGAAGACGATTTGATGAATACCTGGTTTGGACTGCTTTTCTTCATCCATGGACACCATCCCCGAACCCCCCTTCCTTCCCGTCTCGGTATTCCGGCCGCCCATCTTTCGACAGCGTCGCCTCTGCCTGCGGTTGTTCGGTGTTGGAGGGGCCCGCGTTGCAAATGAAGTAGCCGCCGTGGGTGGGCATGAAGTCGGAAATCCACTCCGGGAGGGGATCCGGGTTGTCGTGGCGGGTGGTTGAGAGAAGAGACGCAAGAGGAAGAAGAAGATTTGTGTGGTGCCAATGAATCTCCAACCTTATCCGTGTTTTGGATGTGTTTCCACCGGGTGTATTGAATAAGGATTTTAATAGAAATCAATGGAATTCAAAAGTTTGGGTGTATTCAATTATAACTTTTTAAAATCAATAAAAATCTGGGTGTATTGAATAAGGATTTTAAAAAGTCATTATAAATTCCACAAAAGTCTAGCGGTATTCAAAATAGACTTTTAAAATTAAAAAAAAATCTAGAGGTATTTAAAATAATATTAAACTCATGGATTTAATAAAATCATTCATATATGATGATATTTTACTCTAGGACTATAAATACTCTTTCTCCATTATTTTCTTTACACAAGAGCAAGTATTCTTCCTGGATTTTTTTTTAACGTAAGAGCCCTAGGTCTGCCGCCTCATCATCCTCAATTGCTCTCGACAGCTTGAAATTGATCGTAGCAAGGCAGCGCCCTCGAGTAAGATTTTCATTCTTTTGCTTGCTTTTTCTTTTGATTCATCTTGTCGTTGCCATGTGATTTTCTTGAATTATGAGGCTTTCTTTTCAATTATTAGGCAATTATATTCCCTAGGCTTTCTTCAATCTAGTTTTTATTCCCTGATTGCATTTGCTTCCATTGGCGTCTATTTGTGGTCTTGCATCATATGGCCATGCGCTGAATGATGTTTGCTTCCCTTTATCCAGTGGAGTAAAATAGGTCATTTACAAAATAGACTTCTAATTACAAAATAGACTTCTAAAACTGGATGAGGAAGAGTTTTTGAGAACCACACGATTTTTTTTACCACAAATGTAGTAGTCTTAAGAGTTATTTTAGCAATAGATACTTTTTTAGGTATTTGTTTTAAATCTATTCCTATTAGTAGTTGAGACTTATGTGTTTTGAATTACACCATATACTTTGATGATTTTATTATATATCGGAATTGACGTACCTTATTTATTTGTTAGTGGATGGGAGGGTTCTGCCCATGATTCAAAAGTTTTAAATGATGCACTTTCTAGACCAAATGGGCTCAAAGTGCCATCAGGTATATATTTTTTCTTCTTAAATTGAATCTCTTATTATTGCAATTTATGCAACACATAAATGCATACTTATTAAATAATATTTTCATGAATAGGTAAATATTACTTGGGAGATTGTGGTTTTCCAAATCGTTGTCAGTTTTTAACGCCGTTTCGAGGTACTCGATACAATCTTAAAGATTTTGGCGGAGGAGGAAATCACCCTACCAATGCACGGGAGTTGTTCAATCTTCGACATTCTTCCTTAAGAAATGTAATTGAGAGAATATTAGGAGTATTCAAGTCACGATTCACAATATTCAAAACAGCACCACCATTTTCATACAAGACACAAGCAGAACTTGTTTTAGCGTGTGCGGGACTACACAATTTTCTTCGACGTGAGTGTCGTTCAGATGAATTTCCTCCAGCTCCGGATGAAGATACAACAAATGAAACAGATGAGAGTTATGAATGGGATGATACTCAAACACAAGATCAACAACGAGAGAAAGCTAACGAATGGAGACTTGCAAATGAAATGTGGGCAACAACTAATAGTGAAAACAGTTAATTCTTTACTTTATTTGTTTTACAATTAGATTTTTTTTCATTTTTCTTGAAACATTTGATTGAGATGATGAATTTTATACTATGCAATGTTTTTTATCTATTTTATTAGTATTCTTACTTTTCCCTTGTGTGCTAGGTCAAATTTTATCTTACATTATCAATTATTTTTAAAAATAATACAGTTAGAATTATCTTGTAAAAATATTTTAGAAAAATTATTTTAGTTTATTTTATTTAAAATTTTTTATATATATATATATATATGTATGTATGTATGTATGTATGTATGTATGTATAATACTTATTCGGTTAATATAAAATTTATTTTGTTATTAATATAAAAATATAATATTTATTTAATTGAAAATTAAAAGTAATCTTATTAAAGTGCAAAAAATAACGCTTGACGGACATAATTTGATGGTGGAAGTGAAATCTATAAAATTATTCAAATAAAAGTCCATAGACTTGTTAAAATCCATAGAAATTATTTATATAGAATCAATGACTTTTAAAATATCAATAGAAGTCTATGACTTTCAACACAAGTCCATAGACATGAATAGAAGTCATTGATTTTAAAAATATGAATACAACTCCTTATACAATACACACCCCTAAATGTACTGAATAATTGGGACACAACTTTTTTATCCCGAACCCGTTCCGTCTCGTTATCAAATGGGACATGAGTGGGACAACTTAAATTTATACCGATCCGTCCCGTTTGTCACGTTTTATCTATTTTATTAATATATAATTCTAATTCTATACACTCAATCTTTAATTAATTAAGTTAACTTCAAGTTTCAACCCAAAATTTATTAAAAATATTTGGCCCAATTGATTAACTACCATGATTCTCACTGATCATCTAAATGCTGATTTTTGGTTTTTGCTGGATGGCTACTACCTACTGTCTTTTTTTGTTTGCTGGATGGCTACTGCAATACTACCTACTACTTTTGTTTTTTTGAATGACAGTAGCTAATTGCTTGGTGTATATGAACACAACTAGTTTTTGGATGTCTTAGGAAGTTAATGACTTTTATATATGACATTTTGTGACTTTTGGATTGAGTACCCCCTCTTATATTTGGGATTAGGACAAAGTAGGACAACCCGAATCCGTCCTGGTTTGTTCCGATCCCGAATTTTATGGGACAAACCGGATAAGATTGTAATCCGAACCGTTCCGGACCGTTTATATATAACGGGACAAGACCGGAACAACCTAAAATCCGGACCGTCCCGATCCGTGCCCACCCCTAGTTTCGACAGAAATAACCCTGAATTGGGCAGAAATACTGTTTACTGTCTTTTTTGCTTTGACTTTTGAAATTGTTCATCTAAGCACTTTGACTCATCCAATTCTCCAGTCATATGTGATATTGTTTGATTTGTCTTAACATATAAATTATTAATATATATAATTTCTATAATTTTTTAATACAAAAGATAAAATGAATTATTTTTTATTTGATGACCATTACATTTGTATAAAACTTTAAAATAGTTAGAAATTATTTATCAAACACATTATATATCATTATTAAAAATTTAAAATAAATGATTTTTACTTTAAGATTTCAAAATTTAAAATATATGTAAGCCTATGCAAACCATGAAGTTAATACTTAATACTACTCCGTAGTTCTCTATATTAATGCTTAACTTTTCGGTGTTCGTCCTTCCATTTAAGTTCCCGAGTCCCGTCCTATAGTTATTGGTAAAACTCTCTCATTAATTACGAGTACTACGTAAATACACTTTTACAAAAAAAAATCTTTTTTGAATATCAGGTCTAATTTGATTTGACTAAATCTGATTTAATTATATCTATAATTAAAGTGATTTTTAGTTTAATCTGACTTGATTTTAAAAAGAATAAATATTAAGCAGTAAAAATAATTTGAACGAAACACGGCCTATTCGATGAGTGTAGAACATGCAAAAGATTTGCGAGTAGTTCGTTTAAAACTTGGAAATATTATTTCATTGTTTCATTATGCAATAAAAAGATTTAGCTTGTTTAAAACTTGGAAATCACTCCTTTGTAAACTTGGAAATAAATAAAAATTCTACACTGATTTTTGTAAAAAATGAAAATTTATGATAAGAATATATATCGATGCATCTTTTTCTTCAAACAATAAAAAGAGAGAAAGAAGTGAAAGATACTATTTTCATCCCTAAAACAAAGTCAAAGTTACTATTTCAGATTTTTTATACTTTCTGTTTGTTATTCATTTTGATTGACTATTAGATAAAATAAAATATTTTTGTATCATCTAGTTTTATAGAAATTTTGTTGTATTTTTGTACGGTGTAATTTGAAGATTTTATATTTCTACAATTTTTAAATAAAATAAGTTTGAAAGATATGCTATTTTGCACGTCGTTCAAAATGTGTCGAATAATTAGCTAAGGAGGCAGTAAAAGATACGGAGTACTAAAATAGAGAAAGAGAATTTTGTAGTTAAATTTCCTAATTTGGATATCGTACAAAATTATATCATTTTCAAAATTACTTTATTTTTCAAATTGGTGTAACATAAAAAATACTATGGGTAGGCACGAGTTGAGATGGTTTGGGTTTATACTGTCTCGTGTTTTGTCGCGCTTTTTAAATGATTCCGAATGGTTCGGCCCACAAACTTACCCATCGTTGTCCCTTAATATTCAATAACGGGATAAAACGAAACGGGTTAAGGTTGTTCTATTTTATCATTGTCCCAAATTAGTAGAGGTAGGCGCGGACAATGACAGAATGTGACATCCCTCTTATTTAAATGGTTCGATATAAGTACGTATAAACACTAAAATTATCCAATACCATTCTGTTTTGAAATGTAACGGTAGAATATTCTAACCATACTCAAATCGTGCCAAAAAATTAAACATGCATCATTCAAAAAATATTAAAATAAAAGCATAATTTGTATGCCAAAACACTACTTTGTTAAATAAAAGTATTGATTTTGAATTTCAAGGGATCATAAATATTACGAGTTTCATTTTTTAAAATATTTTTTTCCAATTCATACAATATCAGGCTATTAATAAGTCTAAAAAAATAACATTAATAGTACTATAGTAGTAATAAATATAATAGCAACAATATTAATAAAGGAATTTAAAAATAAATAATAACATGCAAAGTACTTCATATACAGTCCTATAAAGTATACAAAAAATTATTTGAGATACTACGTATATAGTTTTAAATGATTTGTTTCATGATAATTGGTTTTAAATATTTATATTACGGTCCTAACTCGTTTGATGTCAGATCAATTTCGACTCGTGATGAAAAATAAACTCTTTTTAAAAACACTATAAACGGTTGGTACCATTACGGTCCGGTATGGGACCATGGTGGTTTGGGTTTTTTGCTCACCCTAGAAATTAGTTAAGAAAATATATAATACATATAGTGGAAAATGATATATTTATTTAG